AACACCGGCACTCAGCCCTGGCTTCTTTCTCCCCTGCAAATAAATCTTTACTTCTTTCTTTTCTTTTTTCTTTTTTCTAGCCCTGGGGATTGGCTCAGGGCCTTCACGACAAGCTGAATCCCTAGTTATTTTCTCAGTTTTTTTTTTGTTTGTTTGTTTGTTTTTTTGAGACAGGGTCTTGTTGTGGGCTGGGCTTGAACTTGCAATCCTCCCTCCTCCCAGAGTGCTGGGATTACCGTGTGCCATCGCACCTGCAAGCCTCCATTTCTCCAAGGTAGATGCTGGGCATGGGATTGCTGAGTTATGCAGAAGGGTCAGCTTAATTATATAAGATGCTGCCCAATTGTCTTCCTGCCTACCTTGTCTGAGAGCAGCACACCCTCCTGTACCCGGGCACCATCCAGTTTTCCTCTTTCTACTGTAACAGGTGTGCAGTGAAATCTCGTGTGTGGGTCTGTCCTTCCTCCCTTCCTTCCTTCCTTCTTTCCTTCCTTCCTTCCTTCCTTCTTTCCTCCCTTCCTTCCTTCCCTTTTTCTCTCTCCCTATCTCTCTCATTCCCTTCCTCTCCCTCTCTCTCTCTCTCTCTCTGTCTGTCTCTCTGTCTCTCTCTCTCTGTCTCTCTCTCTCTTTCATCTCTATCTTTCTCTGGAGTTTTTTGAGACAGGGTCTCACTATGTAGTCCAAGCTGGCCTTGGAGTATGTAGCTCAGACTGACATCAAACTCATGGAGATCCTCCTGCCTCAGCTTCTACATACCTTGCTTCTTGTTGTGTGTTAACTTGCATTTCCCTAATGGGTAATGGTGTTGATCCTGTGTCCATGCACATTTGCCCTCTTGTGTCTTTGCTGACTTGTCTGTTCCAATACTCTGCCCACTTTTCCATTTAAACTTCACTATTAACGAAATGCAATACTTTATTCAGAGTTCTAGGTTTTCTCTAAAATCCTTCTCAGAGACACCCAGCTCAGGTCCTCTACTCTGAGACCTTCTTTGTTGTTTTTTTTTTTGTTGTTGTTTTTCCGGTACCGGGAATCGAACTCATGACCTTGTGCTTGCCAGGCAGGCACTGTGCCACTGAGCTAAATCCCCAGCCCCATGAGACCTTCTTTGAAGAAGCACTTTCAGGCCTTGCCTGGTGCACGTTGGTACTAGGTGCCTGTGTCACCCTCACATCCTCTGTCGGCTTGCAGCCCTTGAGGGCGTGGACACAGGTCTCCCATGTGTGTTTACTGAAATGTCGCCTAGGTACTGCTGCTGCTTTGGAATTCTGTGCTGAGCCTGGAGCTAAAACAGGGATGTGAAGAACGAGCTCTGGACAGAGCCCATCGGGGTGGGACATGATCAATGGCTGACCTCTGGACCCGCGCCCCTCCACAGGACTGGACGGCAGTGGGGTTAGCCAGGGTCCTGTAAGTAGTACCGAGGGTCTTGCGCTGGCCAGTGGCATTGCGATTACATTGGCACTGAGCATCTCCACACTGAGTGTCCCATCCCAGCACTGAGTGTGCGGGGCCGGCTCACCAGGAACAGAGCAAGCCGCGTGTCTCCTGAAAAACAGATGCATGGGGGCTGGGGATTTAGCTCAGTGGCACAGCATCTGCCTGGCAAGTGCAAGGTCGTGAGTTCAATTCCTGGTACCGGAAGAAAAACAAAAACAAAAACAAAAAGACACAAACAAAACATGCGTGGAGGAAAATAGACGTACTCAAAGCCATAGAGGATAAAATCACTCAGACCTTGTCAGGCACACAGTGCGTATGCACAGCCTGGTGACAGCTACATACACACTCACGCACACACACTCCCTTCCCTGCTTCTGCAGGGCAAGACTGCTCACACCCACATGCACACACACCCACACACACTGCACCTGTGTGCCCGCCCTGGACCACACAAGCGTGCAACCCACACACCTCTCAGCCAGCGCTGCGCGGTGTACGTGCTCCGAGCGCAGGCACACGCTGCCTCCAAAGGGCTCCATCATAGCCAAGAAGAGAAGACAAACATCACAGTCACCTCTGAATCTCTCAGGTCACAGGATGTCATCGGGCTTGCCGAGGACAGCTGCACAGACCTCAGCGATGAGGGAAGCGTGCCCATTTCGTGCATGTCCTGAGCTGAGACCCTGCTGGGCATTGGGACGGGGGCTCCTAGAAGGAGTGCGTGCTTGTCGCCGGGGCGCTCGGGCACAGGGGGAGAGTGGTGTGACCTCAGACCCAGCTGCAGGTGCCCTGGGAGTAACGGTGGCCGCGAGCTGCTCGAGGGACCTTTGCTAGGGTGAGGCCACACAGCATGGACCTGTCGCGGGGCAGGTGTCCCCCTCTGTTTCATGGGTGCTGATATTTGACACCTGTGTGTAGACAGACTGATTTTCAGGCCAAGACTGGGGGCTCTGCCCACTCTGAAGTCCGCAGCAGCTGCCCCTGAGGGTTGGGAGGCGGCGGCCCCGTGTCAGCACTGGTCCTCCTTTCTTCCCTCCCTGCGGGGAGATCTGTGTCCTGCCTGCTCTGCCTCCGTCTTTCTCTGCCCAGGCTCTCTGTCAGTCACCTCCTGCCATGTGTGCCATCAGCTTTGAACGGTGACACTAGTTTGGCTGGCCTGGAACTTGGCAGTCCTCCTGCCTCAGCCTCCAAGAGTACTGGGAGTACAGGCAGGCACCAACGCCCAGCTGCCTGCCGTTTTTATGTCTCCTGTCTGCCCTACCCTCATTGTGTGGCAGGATGAACTTGGTCTTTCATTTGTTTAACAGATGTTCTCTGCATGTACGCTGTGGGGCACGGACACCGTCAGTGCCCAAGGGGGGCCAGACAGAGTCCAGCAGCTGTGTCCCTTAGAAACTGCTCCTTTATTCTTCCACGATCTCCCACTGCCCCTCTGCTGCCTGCCCCACCCTATATTAAGCTCTATACTGGCAAGGGACAAATGACCAGAGGCTCTTGCCCTTGGGCGCGGACATTCTGAAGGAGGAGCAGGACATGGACGGCTCCATATGCTGCTGGTCCGAAAACACAGGCAGCACCCTGAGAGGCAAGCAGAGGACAGCGGGCTGTCGCAGATGGGAGGGCTTCCTGGAGGAGCTGTTGTGGATAGGGTCGTGGATGTCAGCTGGAACGAAGGACATCTCAGGAAGGTGACCGGATGTAGGGGCCGTGGGGGACCAAGGAGGCTGGTGGTTTCCATTGCTCCAGGGTCTGTGTTTTCAGAGGCCGGTTCTCAGCCAGCCCCTCCAAATCACCTAGTCGGACAGCAATCTGCTGGCTTTTTGCAGGGCCTAACACACTACTAACACACACACTACCTCTACTGTTCACCTCGGAAGCCAGGACGTTCTGCCGCCTCCCCCCGCTGAGCAGAGAGCCTGCTCTCAGCTGCCTCTCAGGGGGTGTCCCGCTGCATCATCTCAGGGGCTGGTTCTTTTCCCCGAAGGATGAGAGGATGCAGCGAGGGTCCTGGATTCCTTCTGCCCCTCCCTGGAAGGGGAACCCAAGACACTGGGTGTGAGTGGAGTGGACAGACCTACAAGCCCTGGGGCTGTGCTGATAGCTCAGGTGTGTTCTCCCTTCTCCTAGCCTCAGTTTCCCCCCAGCCCCCACTGCTGTGCAGGGTGGTCCCCAACCCTGGCGGATGCAGATGAAGTGGGGGAGGGACGAGGGCGGAGATCAGGGCAGCCTCCCAGGCCCGGCCTCCAGGAAATTGCACAACAGGGATATTTATTTTTGGTGAGCTGGGTGGGATTTCTTTCCCTTAAAAAAAAAGACCCAAAACATAAAACTTATTTGTCTGCCAGGAAGATAAATATCTTTGCTGAAAGCTCTTGGCCCGGCTGCCAGCTGCAGTTTGCACGATGCTGTCAGCGTAGCTGTGGCCGCCTGCGTGAGCCTGGGCCCACATGGGCGGCACCCGTGATGCCCTGGCTGGTCCCCGTGCCTGTGGCATCTGGACTGTGAGTGCTTCTGGGGCACGGCCGGCTCCGTGCGCCTCTGCTGCCTCTCCGCGCTGCTGTGGGCTGGGGGTGCTGACGGGGGCGGGAAACGTCCCCCTCCGCTTCCTCCACACACGCAGAAGCAGGGATGCGGGCTCTGAGCCTCAGCCTGAGGATTCAGGCTCGGGGCATCTGATGTTTAAGACCGGCCACCTCAACCTGTTCCAGATGAAGGGCCCGAGGGGCAGAGTGACGGAGGCGCATGCCTACTGCACTGTTGTGTGACGGTCCTGCCATCATCTTCATCTCCATTTTGTAGAGGGGGAAACTGAGGCAAAGAGTGGTCACCCAAACTGCCCAGAGCACAGAGCTAGGGTCACAGATGGGGTTCCTTCCCCGAGCTGGGTGTCCACCTGGGATGCCAACAGGGCTGCTTGGACATGGATGAGCTGCCCTTGCCCCAGCCTCCCAGCCTGGCCTCTGCTTCTGTGTCCCTGGCCTGCGTGGGGTGACTTAGTCCCTTCCAGCCCTGAGCGTCCAAGGACCGGCCACTGGAGCCCCACGGTGTCGACAGGAAGTGGCGGTGGGCTGCAGCTGCCAGCTGTGCTTGCATCAGTCCCCTGAGGCCCAGGTGTCACCTCTGGGGGTGAGGGGGCCTAGACAGCCTCAGCAAGCCGTGGGCCAGACGCTGCTGTGAAGGGAAAGGCGTCTGTGCCTTCATCATGCCACCTCCCGAGAAGAAAGAGTCCTCATTTGGGCAGCGGGAGAGACCAGTGTCAGGGGTGCAGTGGTGGGTAGGGAAGTGGCACCAGCACTGGAATCTTTGGGTTGGTTTGTCTGTTTGTTTGTTTGGGTTGGTTTGTCTGTCTGTTTGTTTGTTTGTTTGAGACAGGGTCTCATTGCGTTGCTCAGGCTAGCCTTGAATTCACTATGTAGCCCACACTGTCCTTGAACTCACGGTGACCCTCCTGCCTCAGTCTCCCGAGTGCTGGAATTACAAGTGTGCACCACCAAGCCTGGGACTTGGCCCTGGGATCTTGAGACAGAGAAGTCCCCACGGCTGCTGTGGAACCCCAAATGGGACCAGACTGTCACAGTGCTGGCCTCACCCTCAAAACACAGAAGGTCCAGACGTGGCTGCAGAACAAGTTCTCCCCTCCACCCAGGGAGGCCAAGGTGCTGGGCAGCACCCTTAGTGCCACAGAGGTTCCGTTTGAGGATCTCTCCGGAGCAGGATGCTAGCATCCAGGGTTCGGATGAAAGAGGTCAGGTGGGTCAGCCCAGAGCTCTGTAATACAGGGGCTGGAAGGGACCAGTTCTAAGATGGTGCTACAGAGGCTAGGACATGCACAAGCTAATGAAGGCAGGATTAGAGCCCAAGCTGCCAGCCTCGTGTTCAGATACCCCAGGGTCCCCGCCTCTCTCTCATGGTCCAGCCATTGCTTTCTGACCTAGTTTCCTCCTTCCTCAGCTAAAGAGAGCTCTCTGGGAGAGCCGGAGTTGCCCCCTGACTCCGACACCGTGGGGATGGACAGCAGCTACCTCAGTGTGAAGGAGGCGGGGGTGAAGGGGCCCCAAGACCGGGCCAGCGCTGACCTGCCCAGCCCACTGGAGAAGGCCGACTCCGAGAGCAACAAGGGCAAGAAGCGGCGGAATCGCACCACCTTCACCAGCTACCAGCTGGAGGAGCTTGAGAAGGTCTTCCAGAAGACGCACTACCCCGACGTGTACGCACGGGAGCAGCTGGCCATGAGGACGGACCTCACTGAGGCCCGTGTGCAGGTCAGTGGGGCTGTGGGGTGGCGATAGGGTGGGCCCCCCATGGGGCCAGGGAGAGCCACACCCGGCTGTCTCACCTCAGTCCTTGAGCCTGAGGGCCTGAGTGTGGGGGTCCTGGCTGCCCTCAGGCCTGTCTGCCCAGACGGTCTGCTCCTCCTCCCTTCTTAGCGACTGCCATCTTGTGTGAGGGCAACATAGGGAAGGTCCACTGGGGACAGGAAGCCTGCTGGCTGTCTCCAGGCCCCTTCATGACAAGAAGGCCAAGAGGCCTCTGCTCTGGAGGCCTCGTCTCTCAGGTGGGAAACAGGACAAACACATGGGCATCCACAGCTACCTTGATTCGGCACCTCCTTCTGCCCGCGATGGCCCCTGCCCCCCTGCTTCTGGTCCCAGCTCAGCGCACTCTTCTGAGGAGTCTTCTGGCGCCTTGAGAAAGTAGTACGCCTACCGCCACCCAGCCACCAAAATCCTAAGCCCACACAGCTCAACACAACCCAAACCAACATAGCTGAACACAACACAAACCGACATAACACAACTCTAACCAACACAACTGAACATAATCCAACACAACCCAACCGAAACGGGCACAACCCAACTCAACTCAGCTCAGTGCAGTACCACCCAGCCCAACAACAGGACACAACTCAGCCCAGCCCAGCTCAATACCCCTCAACACAGCCTAACACCATCCAGCTCAACATAACACCACTGGACTCACTCAATCCAATACAGTGCAGTCCAACCCAACCCAACCTCTTACAATGCAAGCCAACACAACATACCTTAAATCAGCACAGCCCGATACAGCTCAACCTAACACAGTACAATACAACTCAACTCAGTACAATGCAGCCAACACAGTACGACCTAACCCAGTACAACCAAGTTCACCCACCCCAACCCAGCATCACACAACACAGTCAAACCACACTGTCCTGTTTTATCTTCTTTATGGGATTCGTGACTGGCTTAAATTATTTTATTTGTCTCTTCCCCACCAACTGCCCAAGGCCGACCTCAGAACAACAAGGGCAAAGATTAAATACTTGTAGACCAGTCGACCTGCTCTGTCCAGGCAGATGTGTCCCACTCCCTGTAGGAAACCACGGCAAAGAAAGAGAGCAAAGGCCTCGGAGTAGGTGGCCAGACTCATGCATTAAAGTTCACGTTCAGCTTAACACAACCTAAACATCACACCCGGGCTGCTCTTCCATCACCTGTAGCGTGTTAGAAATGGCAAATGCTCTGCTGCTGTGTGACAGTGTCCTCTCCCTAGACCAGGAAACCAACAGCTCACAGCAAAGTTTTTTTTTAAAAAAATAAATCTGCCCAGCATAGTGTAGCCCAGCAGCAGGGGCCACTCAGTGTCAGGACCAGCACCCCGCGGTCCTCAGCAGGTCCCAGGGGTACTGTGGCCTTAGTTCACGATAGGTCCTTCAGTGGGGGAGTGCTAAGGCATTGATAACACAGAGCTATTGGTAATTTAGTACAGAAACTTTCTCGTGAAAAATGGCTCATGTGCAAAGGCCCAGGGTTCTGTATGTACACAGCTGCCTGGTCCTGCAGCCACCAAACAATGTTTCCGGGCCTCTTGGCTGAGCTGGATGTGCACCGCAGGAAGGTAGGCAGCACAGCGGCTTCGTACCAGATCCCTGTCACCCTGCAGGGGACCTTGCCTGCTGGAGTCTGGGCAGCAGCAGCCCACCTCCAGCCTCAGCCCCAGCCAGGGGCTTGGAGAGCTGTGGGAGTGGGCAGAGGAAGGGGCAGGTGCTTCTGAGGCATCCCGCAGTGTGGGCTGGCGGGGGACAAGTCGGCTCATCTCCCATTCAGGGTGTGTGCCTGCATGTGCCTGCGTGTGCTGCACACGTGCGCCCTGACAAATGTGTGTGTGCCCACAGCAGATTCAGAGGGTTACAAGAATGACAGCTTGTTCTGCGCAAATCACGGGAAGGACAGGAGCACACAGCATTTTCCAGTCGCCACCGTACAGCTAAAATGGAGCGTTCTCTCTGCACAGACTTACAAGGCATGATGGGAAAATAGGGTGTGTGTAAATTTTTAAAAACGTATTATAGTGAAAGACACATTGCCACAAATCCTTCTCATAATCCTCCCCCTCATTTCAAACACACTTACCCCATCATTCTTTTTTCTTTCTTTTTTTTTTTTTTTTGTCTTTTGGAGACAGAGACTCACTGTGCAGTTCAGACCAGCTGTGAGCTCACTTTATAGCCCAGGCTGGTCTCAAACTTGCAATGATCCTCCTGCCTCAGCCTCCCTAGTGCTGGGATTACAGGCGTGTGCCACCACGCCCGGCTAAAATTTTATGTTTTCTTTTCCATTTACCATTCTAGACCTTGGTTTTACTAAAGAAGTGTTTTAGGGTTTTTTTTTGTTGGTGGGGGGGATACTGGGAATTGAACTCAGGACCTTGCACTTGCCAGGCAGGCATTTGTGTCACTGAACTATATCCCCGGCCCTACCCCATCATTCTTGCCCCTTTCTGAAGCAGCTCTGGAAGTCTTCTTTTGTGTCTTTAGTTTTGCTGTCCTAGCTGCCTCGATGTCCTGAATCTATTCAAAGTCTTTACCTGTCACGGTCATTTTGATTTGGGGAAGGGCCAGAAGTCATGTGGTGCCAGATCTGCTGGATAAGCAGGTGAGGACACCGCCGTGTTTTTGGGAGCCTGCCTTTGCTATGGATGGCTCGGCAGCAGCATTCGCCATATTTTTGATCGCAGCTTGCAAAGACACAAACGAGGACTTCCAGAGCTGCTTCACAAAGTGGCAAGAACATGGGATAAGTGTGTTTGAAAGCGACAGGGTGTACTGCAAGCAGAATGGATGGCAGTGCGTCTTTGAAATAAATTTTTAAGCTTCAGTCATTCACTTTGTGTTTGGTTACACCTTGTACCTATTTATGCCTACTTCTAAAGCAGAGTTGAGGCAGTGTACAATGAAAGAGTTCTTTTTATTTATTTATTTGGGTACCGGGAAACAAACTCGGGACCTTGCGCTTGCCAGCCAGGTGCTGCACCGCTGAGCTATATCCCGGCCCTCTTATTTTAATCGAAGATCAAAGAACAGTGTCTTGAAGCAGGAAGATCATTATGTTACAAATCCAGGCCTCTTCAACCTTGAGCCCCCTGGCAGGCAAAGCAGAAAAGGAAGCCCTGATCTGTTGTACATCTGACCATCGAAGGGGAAGATAGAGAATCACAGAACGGTGTGTTGGACAGCATCACTTGATCTCCTCGCTTGATAAGTGAAACAGAAAGGCCCGGGGGTGGGCAGGCGTAGTTTGAAGTTACAGAGACTCAGCGGCAGTGCTGCCCGGACTTCAGGGCCCCCGAGTCCGTCCCTGCTCTGACTGCAGCGTGCCGCACTAGGACGCGAGCCAGACTGCTGCGACGCTCTGCTTTGTACGGAGCAGCAGGGTGGGTGGGATCTCCATGTGCGTCAGACCTCTGGGTTGAACGAAGCCTGGCATTGCCCTGGGGGACGTGGGGTGTGATGGAACCCCCTGCCTGCCTCTGTGGAGTTTATTCAGGGCGCATGTTCAGCTGGTGGCAAGCCAGGTGCCCGGCGTAGGCGTGGGGGTGGTGGGGATGGGGGGGGGCGTCTCAAGGTGGACTTTTCCCTGGAAGAAGCCTAGGGTTTGGCCCTGCTCCAGGGGGCTGCAGGGGCCCCTCGCTGCTGTCTGGGATTCCAACCTCCGCAGCTGGTATCTGAAGACAATAAGGCAAGGCCTCCCCGCCCCGGGCCACCCCACCCTGGCCCCAGATGGGCTGCGGTTAGGAGGCCTCTGCCAAGACAGTTGGTTCCTCGCACAGCCTGGGCCTCAGGAGAGGCCCGTTCTGAGTGGGCCAGGCCCGGGTGGGCTGGGGAGCGGGGTGGTCCTGGGGCGCGACATCAGAGGACGAGAGCAGCTCTCCTCCGGGCTGCAGTGGAGACAGCAGGCCCAGGGGCTCCGCGGTGGGGGTCAGAGACTGAAGGAGTCTCAGGATCCCTGGATGGAGCAGAGGGGGACCCACTGGGGTCCTCTGCCACCTCCATGTGTGGGGGGATGCTGCAGATCAGCAGGGCAACTGAGCTTTGAGTCTTTTTATGTTTATGAGTACAAGTCCGCAGTCCATAACGACTGCGTTCCTCCTGGCGAAGTAGTACTTGTACGTTACACAGCTTAGTTCTTTTTTCCATCTTCATCCCCTTCCTTTGGTGAAAGTTCCTTTAGTGTTGATCTGAGCGGAAACCCCAGCCTCAGGGACAGGGTGAGGGTTAAGGGTTTGGAAGAACGCACCACACCAGTCCTTAGCCCCCGGGTAAATCCCCCAGCCCGGGTAAATCCCGCAGCCCGGGTAAATCCCGCAGCCCAGCCCCAGCCCAGCCCTCCGTCTAAACAGTGCTTTACTGCCTCGCCGCATCTGTCCTCCCAATTCCCTCCTCCCCACAGACTCACAATCCACCCCCTGCACCTCCCCACAGTCTTAGACCCCTTGCCAGACACCCCCGCCCCCACCTGTGTTCCTCTGTTCCCACAAGGGGACCCCGGACCCACAGAGACCTGAAGATTGAAATATAAACGCATCTTGCCCCACCCTCAAAGAAGGGAAGGAGCGGTCTATCCTGATGCCTCCTGGGGGCTCCCCAGCCCCGCCCCAAAACCCTGGGAGGCTGAGGCAGGAGCGGAAAGATTTAGCTCAGCCTGCAGGAAATTAAACATGAAATAAAAACAAGCTCCTAGGATCCGTGCTCCCACCCCCACTCCAGGCTGCTGATAAAGGGGGATCTTGTTTCACAGCCTGGAGGGGACCGGTGTGCCCTTGGCTCCCACTGGGCAGCCTGGCCTGGACCCCAGGGGCTCTGGGAGGAAAGAGGCCCCCGGAGGCTGCGGGGCAGGGGCTGAAACCCCAAGCCAGGTCTCCAGGGAGGTCACAGGAAGGGCGCTCTGCGTGTGGTGTGTGTATACATGCATGGGACGCGCATGCGCACACGGGCATGTGGGTTAGAACGAGGAGGGAAGCGGGAGTGGTAGGGGAGAAACCCCAGCGCCCCCCTCCCCCCCCGCACTAACCAGACCCGCCCCTGCCCCCTCTTTCTGACCTTTTTCCTCTGGCAAGACACAGCCAGCCAGGACGGAGCTATAAATAAGCAAATGCAGAGTCCTCTAAGAACTCTGGGGCAGTTCCCATCTGGCTCCCCGCTGCTCCCACGTGGCACCGTCCCTTCCCCGTGACGAAGTGGCACAGACCCAGGCCCGTGGAACAGATTCAGAACCGAGGCATTGGCGACACCAGCGCTCCCACAGGCCCTCGGCCGGCTCCACAGGAGCCCCGTAGGCCAGGCAGCGTCTATGGGGGACACAACCGCCCCGGCTCCTGTGCCCTCTTTGGGGTTTGGGCGGAGGGGGCGAGAGGGGACACCTTCCGGGCAGGTGCAGAGGGTGGGCGGGGGAGGGAGGCACTGCTTACCAGCCCTTGTGCAAGCCAGACCTGAAAGAGCCTCACAAGACTGTGCTCCCGCGGTGTTGGGTGCTATGCCCACTTACATCTGAGTCTCTGGCAGTCAGTGCCCCCTGGAAGTGCCAGGGTCTGCCTGTGACTCCACCAGAGGAAGCCTGTCCTGGCAGGAAGCCAGCCACACCTCATCTTCCTCTCCCACCCTCTCTGCCCCATGACCTGAGCCTTGGGACAGAAGCCAGCCACACACGCTCCTGCCAAGGACAAGGACCCCCCGGCCCAGGCCCCAGGGCACACCTGACTCAGAGCCCAACCCTCCCTAGCCAGGTCCCCCGCAAGCCACACGCAGCCACAGGTGGGGCCTAGCTCTTCCGAAGCATCAGGCCTCACTGGTCCTACACTCACACCTGAGCTGTCCTCCTCCAGACAACCATCAAAGGCCCAACTCCTACCCTGTCTTCCAGGAAGCCTTCCCTGACTGCCTGTGGTGCCCACAGAGCCCCCACTGTCCCTGGGGTGTTCCCCACTGCCACTTACGGAGTGCTGAGCTTGGAGATTTTGTGTCCAACCAGAAGGCTGCAGAGGGGATGCGGTGGGTAGGCATCCTGGGTCTGGGCCTGCAGACAGGGTCTAGGGCGCCACAAGCTTTCCGGCAGAGTCAGGGAGAAACTGCATGTGACAGTCACAGTGGTGGCGAACTTGTTTCAGGTGTGCTGTAGAAGGCTTTCGGTATCATCCCTGGTTCAGGAGAAGGACTTTCTGGAGGGCATTTTGTAGCTTTTATCAGACTGGGTTAGAGAGCTGTGGCTCTCAGGAGAACAGGGTTCACCTATGTTGGAGTCCGTTAGATGTCTGCTAAGGGGAGGACTTGTCCCCTCCGTGTGTGACATTTGCCACTGTGGATTCTGAAGCCTAAACAGATGAAGTTACTGGTCTAAGATCACGCCTATGGCTGTAGCTTTTTCTGTTTGTGTTTTGAGACAGGGTCTCATTCCATATTCTAGGATGGCCTCAAATTCCCAATGATCCTTTTGCCTCAGCCCCCTGGTGCTGGGACTTTTTTTTTTTTTTTTTTGCTCTCTGATGATTTGAGATTGACAACTCCAAGGACAAAGGCCAAGGTTGATGCTAACCTATGGCCCCAAGGCCCCAACCCATGCAGTGTGACTGGTGGGGGCTCAGAGGACGCTGCACCGCCTAACCCCTGTGACATCCGCTTTGTCCGGCAGGTCTGGTTCCAGAACCGCAGGGCCAAGTGGAGGAAGAGGGAGCGCTTCGGGCAGATGCAGCAGGTTCGGACCCACTTCTCCACTGCCTACGAGCTGCCGCTGCTCACCCGGGCTGAGAACTACGCCCAGGTAAGGCCAGGCCCTGGGGCTTCCCAGGCCTGGGTCTGGCTCACTGCTTCAGTGTCCTTGCCTGTAAGGTGGACACGATAGGAGCATCTGTCCCAGTGCTGTGACCAGGTCCACGTTCTCTGTGAATTGGTCCCCAAAAGGCAGTTTGCAGCATCCCACCCTCCCTGCCTCTGGCTCATCTTGGTCACCTGCCCTTCCAGACCTCAGCGAGGTTTGGAGGGACAGGAAGTGTCACCTTCAGCTCCAAGCTGCTTCTCCCACCCCAGTAGTGCATAGTGTGCTCTGCTCTGGGTCCCCACATCCCCACGGTTGGGAGAAGCTGAGAAATGTGGAGGTCTCCTGCGTGTACCAGCTGCACCCGCTCCATCCCTCCATGCTCTGCCTCCCTCCCCAGCCTCAGCATCCGTGAGACCCCAGCCTTGATGGCTTCTATCTGAGCTCGACACTGGAGGGAGAAAACCAGCGTGAGGTGCTGCTCCTCTCTCACCTGCAGTCCAGCAAGCCCCAGGCTTCTGGTGCTTCCGAGAGGGCTCGGTGAGGGGCAGGGGCAGGGGTGTGGCGTGACTGGTCTGCAGCCGCTTGATGCCCTCAGAATGCCCTGGCAGATCTTAGGAGGCAGAGGAAGGCGGAAGCAGAGTGGGGAGCTAGGGGAGGGAGGGAATGCAGGAGCGCTGATGGGAGGTGGGCATCCCGTCCGGCCCCAGCCCCTGTGGCATGAGGCCATGCAGCCCACCCGAGGCTCAGGCTGTGCTCCCAGTGACACAGCTGGAGTCTCAGCCGAGCTGGAAATGGGGACTTCTTGCGGCTTGAAGTTGGCCTTACTCCGAAGCTCCTTCAGCCGGCCTACCTTGGGAATTGGGGTGCCAAAGCTCGAAGCCCATCCCAGGGCTGTCTGGGTGTCTCCTGAGGCCCAACACTCAGGATCGGGCCTGTGAGCAGGCAGAGGCCGTCTGGGGCAGGGGGGACCTGGCACGCCACCCTCCAGCCCGCGTGACCTCTCTCCCCTCACTCCCCCCAGATTCAGAACCCGACCTGGATTGGCAACAATGGGGCCGCCTCGCCGGTACCTGCCTGTGTGGTCCCCTGTGACCCGGTGCCCGCCTGCATGTCCCCTCACGCGCACCCTCCTGGCTCCGGGGCCAGCAGCGTCACCGACTTCCTGAGTGTGTCCGGGGCTGGCGGGCACGTGGGCCAGACGCACGTGGGTAGCCTGTTCGGTGCGGCGGGCCTCAGCCCCGGGCTCAATGGCTACGAGCTGAACGGGGAGCCGGACCGAAAGACCTCGAGCATCGCGGCGCTGCGCATGAAGGCCAAGGAGCACAGCGCGGCCATCTCCTGGGCCACATGACAGGGCCCCTCCCGTCCGTCCCCGTGCCCGCCAAGCCCGCGCTTCCCAGGACCCCAGCCTCCCACTCGACTTTCCTCCTAGGAACCTGGCCTGGCCCAGGGGCCTGACCCTCAGCACTTTCAGCCACCCCAAGTCTTAAGCCCTGGGGACCGCGGGAGGGAGGGGTACAGACCCCTGCGGCTCCGTGGCACTGAGGCAGGGACCTGTGTTCCCAGGCGCTGGCCATGGAGACAGCAAGGTGCCCGGTCCTGCGGGTTTGTGTCCGTTACGAGCTGAAGGCCCTTTTCCCGCTCCTGCTCCTCTGCCACCCGCTTTGACCTTGCGTCAGAGTTAGCTTCCCCTCCAGAGCCAGCAGCAGTGACAGTCAGTCTGGTCCACCTGTGCCTTTTCTGTGGGGTCCCCCTGTCACCGGGCCAGTGGCTCTGTGCCTGCCATCTGGCTCCTGTCCCTGTTTCCCGAGAGCACATGAACCCCACCTCCTGGGCCCCAGCGACCCAGCCTGGCCGCCCCTGCGCTGGACACATCCAGCGGCACAGGCAGGAGTGGGAGCCAGGGACCCGCGGCCACCCTGGAAAGTGGCCAGACCCTGACGTCTTGAGACTGGTTCTAGTGGGCACTGCAGGGAGAAGCCAGGACCCCCGGGGCCACCTCATGCTGGAGCAAGAGGAGCTCTGGGAGAGAGCAAGGCCTCGGGAGGTGGCGTCGCTGCACCAGGAGGTCTGGATGGCTCCATCTTCCGTGTGCTTGGTGCTTCCATGTCCCCGGAGCCCCTGCAGGAGGATCTGGGGTGCCTGTCCCTTCCTTGCCTCCCCGTCTCATCACTCTTGGAGTGAAAGGACTTAAGACTCGGAATACATAAGCTAGGCCTAGGGCCTTGGCAGCAGGGGTCAAGAGCAGTATCCTCAGGCTCTACCAGGGGAATCGAGGCCATGCTTGGGCTTCGGGCAGGACGGCTTTTCCATCCTCAGCTCACCCCACCCGCCACCTCGGGCACAGCGTCATCCCCAGCTGGTGGGGACTCTGTGTTCCTCCGGGCCCAGGAGACAGTGCTGTGCTCAGCATGGCCTTCCACACACTCTCAGAGCCTCCCTCCTGCTGCTTCCCTGGGGCACAGTTCTGCCCGCCTCTCTGCCTCCTGGAGCCAGGCTTCCAGCCTGCAGAAACACGGCTCCCTGTCGCCTGCCTTGACCCGGGCCTTCCCTAGCCAGAGTCAGACCCTCTCATGGATGCTAGCTCTCGAGTTGATCTTAGATAGGAGAAAGGGGTCTCGGACGGCAGATTAAATGTTCTCAAAAGCTTGGCTTCCCGATATTTGAGGATCTTGGAGTGACTCTCAGGAATCCTCTGGTTCGGAGGTCCACTGAGGTAACTCATTCTCCCCACAGCCTGGCCAGGGAAAGGCGGGGCAGAAGGAAGGGCAGTCTGGTTCCTTTGCGAAGGCCTCGTGGCGAGGCAGGACATGGGAGGAAGTTGCTCACCCAGGGAGAATCAGCACAAGGAAAGGCAGGACAGGGCCGGAGGAGGAGGGTGAAGGGGGGCTTTGGGTGGAATCTTCTGGAAGGGACCTCCTTGGAGACAATTCGTTCCTCTGGGGGTGTGCTCTCAAGTCAGGCCAATGTCAAGCGCAGGTCTTGGGAAGAAAGAGCTTCCAGGCGGAGACATTTGGCTGGCCATGGCTGCCTCTTCCCTGCTGGGGCCCAGACAGGTTCAGGACTGCGCGTGCTGGTGTCAGACGTCCCCTTTCCTCTCTCCAGAGGCAGTCATCACCCCCGGCCTGCCCACCCTCCAGGAACAGGTGGTCACCATGTTGGAAGAGATCTCAGACGCCCCCTCAGTAGAGCAGTGCCCTCACCCAGAGCAGAGTGACCCAGGCCACGGTGACAGGAGCAGGGCCACGCTGCCCAGGCTCCAAGGCTTGGGCCCAGCTGGCTCTCAGGGTGGTGGGTGCTGGCTGGAGAGGACAGGGAGGGCACCCTGGTTCCCTCCAGCAGGGACAGAAGCAGCAGCCCCAAGGGTGGCCACCTGGCTTCCTCGGGGACTGGGGCCCATGGAGGTGGTGAGAAGACACTGCAGCGTGGGGCTGGGGGTTCCCTTTGCTCTTTGCCTGACGTCTCCACAGAGACAGCCGCTTGACCATGAAGTGGTGGGTGATAGCCAGCCACAGAGTGGGCACCGTCCCCGGCCTGGGAGCCTGGCGTCCCTGCAGGGCCATGTGCCCAGGCTCCACACCAGGGCTTTGCCACCTCTAAAAGCAACCCCTCCGTCCAGGTCCAGGGGTGAGGGCGATCAAACCTTCCCTGAATTCTTGTAATCATGCTTGATGCCCCCCTGGCGGGCAGGTTAAAGTTACTGCGATGAGCGGGGCACAGCACGACTGAGGGGGTCCCCAGCATACACTGCTGTGACAACACCACACCCACTTCCTGTCTGTTCTGCTGGGGAGACCAAGAACGTTCCCGTGACCATGCCACATGCCCTGTATCCCCAGTCACTCCCTGGGCTACACGAGGGGGACGTGGATGGACCTCTGGGGCTGCTGGTGTGCTGGATGGCCCTGCTGTTGGGGGCACAGGCAGACAGGCCTGGCTGGGACAGGACAGCTGGCGGACTGGCCCCCTCGGATAATAATCCACAGTCATACAATTGACAAGTGAGACGGTGACAAAATCCACTTCCCAAAGTCACACCAACCCCACTTCACTGCTTTCAGGGTGCTTAAGGGAGGGAGGGTGCTCCTGTTGGATGGTATTGGTGGCATTGAATGGGACATTTGCTCCCCTTCCCCTCCTTTGTCGCCCTTCCCTGTCATACATAGAGCTAGGCCTTTATACTACTGATTTTGAGGACAGTTTCAGTGTCGAGTAATCTGTTTGGTGTGCAGTGGTTAACACAGCCGAGTGTGCGAAGGAACATGGACCTCAGCCAATACTTACTGTCTCATTGTAAGATATTTTAACCCTGTATAAATGCAACTTTTCCTTTAGCTTAATGGCCTGGGGTGGAATATTAAAAATATCTATGAAAACTTCAGAAAAAAAAATGTTAAAAAAAAATTGAGGTGGGTCCCATAAAGTTTTACTGCCTATACCACCATGTAACTACATTATAGCAAAATATTAAATGTTCTTGCCTTTTAAAGTAAGTTATTGCACTTACATCTTTCCGGGGAGGGGAGGCGTGTGGGCGAGAAGGAGGCGTTGGGGGCCGAGGCACTGGGTGGAGCGGAGACCGCTGGACGCGCCTCAGTGCCCCGGCACGGCCCGCACTGTCTGTTTGGCTGTTGTTGTTTGCAATAAACTCCTCTTCCTCCTCTCAACTGGAATCTGTCTGTTTTGTTCCTGACTTATGACAGATGAAATGTGATCAGAGGGGCCTCTGAAATCTCACGTTAATTGAAGTCGGCAAAAAATACTAACAGTGCCCTTTTGAACTGCTGACACAGTGCAGAGCGGATTACGGGCTAGATTAACAACAGGTGGCGGCTGATGCTCCTGCACAGAAGGGAGCGTGGCCCGGCAGGGTCTGGGGTGCCTCCCCCCCCCCGTCCCTGCACAGAGAGGAGCCAGGGTGGGGGCACGTAGCCAGCCTCCCGGGCACCGGCCAGGGTCACGTGGCAGCTCATGCCTGGCCCTGTGGAGGGTGTGCTGGGCACACACTGCACCTGGAAGGCTTCACAAGCAGCTCTCCATGTCCTCGATGTCACCAGGGGCTGCTCTGTCTCCAGGGCCTGTTCTGGAAGTGGAAGAGTGGGTGTGGAGATGCAAAGCCCAGTCCTGCTGGCTCTGAGACTTAGTGGCAGAGGGAACTTTCCTTGCAGGAGTTCTGTTTTTATTTTGTTTGTTTTTGGTGCTGGAAATCAAACTCACGACCTCGTGCTTGCCAGGCAGGTACTGTGCCACTGAGCTATATCCCTGGCTCCTTGCAGAAGTTGTGAACAGGCACTTTTTAAGGCCAGGCCTTTCCGGGCATGGCGGCATACTTGGGAGGCTGAGGCAGGAGGATCGCTGTGAGTTCAAGGCCAGCCCAGGCTATATAGTAAGTTCAAGTTCAGCCTGGTCTACATAGTGAGACCCTGTCTCCAAACACCAAAAATAAATTTTAGAAGGAAAGTCAGGGCCTAAAGAGAAATGGTGCAGCACAAAGGGACCCAGTTTGTGCATCAGGGTGACTTGGGAAGAGACCCTCGTCAGAGCAGGAAGAGCCCCATCCCTACCACGTGTTCCAGTGTGGGAGGGCTGAATGCAAGATACACATGCCTGACATGAGGGACAGGGAAGGCCCCCAATTGCGAGTCTGATAGGAAACTCCTTTCAACTCACTTCCTGCACTTCATGTAGCAGAAACACTTTCCTGGTCTGCACCTCAGATTCAGCACCTGTGGGGAATTAATTCACATTCAGCCTAAACTGAACATGTTTTAAAAAGTGACAGTTGTAGCCAGGTATGGTGGTGCAGGCCTGTAGTCCCAGTAGTCTGGGAGGCTGAGGCAGGAAGTTCATAATTTTAAGCCCAGCCTGGTCAGCTTAGCAACATAGTGAGACCCTACCTCAGAGTAAAAAATAAAAACTCTGGACGTGTAGATCAGTGTAAAATCCCTGGGTTCAACCCCAGCACTGGAAAAAGCAAGGCAGCTGTCACATATTAGGACTCAGGGTAATGACAGAACTTGGACCGTCACACCAAGTCACTGCCAAGGCACGGGGTAGGAAGTAGAGACGGATCAGGCCTGAGATCCCTGCTTTCCCTCACGAGCTGGGATCCCCGTATCCTGCAGTCTAGATGAGCACTACTGCTCCAGGGACTGGCCTGACAGGGCAGTGGCTGTGTAGACCTCTCTGGACTGGGGCGACCGATCCCTAGGACCTGTGCCTGCCCCTATGGTCATCTCTTGGTATCCATGGAGACGGGTGCCAGGATCCTCAACTGCAGGGATGCTCAGGTCCTTCAGATCAAGCATGGTATTCACTCTGAAAGCACACACTAAGGAACAGGAAGTGGAAAAAGGAGTCTGCACGCACTCCAGGAGATGCATTTTTCTGCTGATTATTTTCTGCTCTCAGTTGAATCTGGGAACACAGAACCAGGGGGACACTAGTGGCTGGCCATAGTGTTGGGAGGACGAGGCGCCAGGGCATCCTCTGCCTGTCAGCTCTGGGTCAGTCCTCTGCTGTCAGCCACCCAACACGGCTCACAGCGCCTGAGCCATTTTATCCTTCTGCTTGTGCACCACTGGCTCCCCCGCCCCCACTGTCTCCTCCACTGTAGGTTTCCTTTAGATGACAGTGCTGACCCCCATAAAGTCCCTTCCTGACTCCATGCCCACCCAACTCCCACCCAGCACCGCTGCTACCTGCCGGAGCCTCCACACAGCTGCTGTCACATGACACATGACACCGCTGGTGTGACCCTAGAGACCCGCCCAAATTCCCCGCGTGCCCAAAGGCTCCACGGGGAGAACTCTGCCTAGCCTTGGCCTCCGCCCACTGTGTCCCTCCAGGGTTCGCATGCATCTGTGATGAGCTGTGGCCAGGACAGGAAGCCTGGACTCTTTATTTAGTGTCCTTGGCATTGGGCCAGCCCAAGGCTAGAGCCCAAGATGGCGCAGGGGGCCCTGTGTCCCAGGCTGCTCACTCTGCAGCTCCTGCCCTTAGCTTTGGGCTCAGATCCCTCTGTCTTCCAGTCACTCCAGACCACCCTCGAACCCCTGAAACCCCAACTCTCAACCCTTGCCTAGAGAGCAGGGCACAGCAGCTTCCTTCCTGACCTGGTGCCAATCCCTGCAGAACCCGCTTGTCACCAATCCCACCATCCCTGGTCTCGCCCTAAGAGCCTGTCGACCTCCGGCGCCATGAGTCGGCTGGCCCGTGTGACAGCGGAATCCTCAAGTGGCCGGCAGGGAGAGCAGCGGTGGCGGTGCCTCTGCTTGCACAGGTCCAGACTTGCATGCTCAGCAGCTACGGAACAATAGGTCCCCCACAAAGAGCCAGCTCCCCCAAATGCGGCTGACTGCAGACGGCCTCTGCTCACAGTGAAAAGACGCAAGCTAGCACCCGAGGACAATGGGTGTGAGAGCTGAAATGTTCCCAGGAATCCTGAGTGATTCCAAACAGATTTTTTTTTTTAGTTCAACACAGACCAACAGCCTTGAGGAAGGGCAGACTTCCATGAGGAGCTTCGGGCCACGTGCATGTGCACACCATGTGTTAAGGTGTTGGGGGGCACATCTACAAGCGGGGCTGCCTGGCCCTCCCGCACCCCCACCAGGACAGGGTCTGCTGCAGTGCTGCTTTCAGTTACCGCGCAGCGCCCACCCCGTGACCTCTACCCATGCACTTCTGTGATTCCTGGCTCACTGAAGGGGAAGGGCTTCCTGCTACGGCTTAGATCTAAAGCATCTCCCAAAGCTTCATATGCGGGGAAGGTGACTGGCTCATGGGGCAGCGCACTCATCAGTGGACTTATCTTTTGATGAGTTCATAGCTTTTAGGAGCTGGGGCCTGGTTGGAGAGGGTCACTGCAGGTGTAACCTGGAAGGGCGTGATCTTCCAGGCCCCTCCCTCCTTTCTCTGTTTCCTGGCTGCCGTGGGCCGAGCACTCTCCGCCATCCTGTATCCACCTTGGAGTCGGCCCAACATGGGGTGACGTCATGAGCCCAGGTCAAGCTCTCTTCCTCTAAGTTGTAGGTGTTGGGTATTGTGTCTAGGTGACAGGGAAGTGGACAGTACACACTCTTTTGCCGTGACAGTAGAGCCCAGCTACACCATGATGGGGGTAGAGAGAGGAGAGAGAGGGAGCGAGAGAGTGTTGGGAGGGTCAGGGGAAGGGGTACGCGCTGACATGAAGGCAGTGTGGCCAGGAAGCCACATGCTGATGACACAGATGGGAGACCTGGGTTTAAGAACAGCTTTGTAATTCGGTAGCTGTGAACCTGAGGGGAGCCACTAAAATGCTTCCATTCTGGTTTCTTTTCACCTGTGAAGTGGAGATAACTGTTTGCTAATCTCACAGACAGTTGTGAAGCCCACGTAAAAACAGTTCAATGCAGGAGGTGTGCAGACAGGAGTTGCCCAGCACTCTGGAGGTGGGGAGGTCGGGTGCTAGCTTGCGTCTTTTCACTGTGAGGGGCCGACTTCCTGTTCATCTAGGTAGCTAAGGGCGGGATGCCACAGGCTGTTTCTCCAAGTGTCACCGCACTGAAGCACTGGGAACCACTTTGGCCTCACGCTGTCGCTTCATTAGCTTCTCTGTGTCTGAGGTTGTGGTCTTGGACTGAGTCACAAGGTCTACAGCATCTCAAGGTCTCCAGCTCTCACAGGCCTGGGATGGGATGTGTCAGCCTCTGAAATCTCAAGAGCCAGTTCTTCTAGTGAATCCCCCTCACAGATCTCTCGCTGTCCTGTATCCTGTCTCTCTGGAGGCCCCTGGCTGCAACAGCCCTAGGGGCCTACTCAGCCTCCTCAGGAGGACCTGGGACCCCTGCTGATCTTGGACAGTCATCCTACTCTCCCATCTTGTTTCCTTGGACTCTCACTCTCCAAGGCCCAGGGCTAATCTCCCTTCCTTCACGAAGCCACACGGGCATCTCCTCTCCTTCCAGTCACCCTGTGGCATGCAGCTCCGCACCTCATAGACAGGGCTCTGAGAGACTCGTTCCCCTGCACCTCCCAGTTCCCTGCTGTCTGCATCTCTTCCACGACAAGTGTTTAATAACCATCAGCTGGAAGCCTGACTTCCACACCAAGAACACAGCAGAAAACCCTGGGCTGGGGCAATGGAAGTGGAGGCATCAGAGACCCTGGAGCCCAAAGCAGGTGTCCAGGTAAGGTGGGAAGGGACAGTGGTCTACAAAGAACGGTGGAAGAGGGCACCTTTTAGTCATGTTTCTTCCTTTCAATCAACTTTACTCAGGTGTACTTTACTGGTGCGAAGAATGTGCCAATTTTAAGTGCAGAATGGGATGACGGTGGACGATACATACACATGTATCCAATTAGCAAGATCCGGATCTAGAGAACGCCCTTCACCTGGTAGTCAACCCCTTGTTCCCAACCCAGCTGGTCCTCAGCTCCGGTAGTAACTGCTCTGCTCTCTGTCGCTCAAGATTAGTTTTGCCTGTTCTAAAACTTTGTGCATAAGGTTCGTGCTCGTTTGCATCTGGCTGCTGCTGCTCCTCTGTGTTGGAGCCCATCCATGTTGTGTGCTTCTGGAGTTCATTACTTTTATTGCCAGCTTGTATTCCACTGTATGGATATGCCACAATTTGTCTACCCATTCATCAGTTGTTGAATATTTATGTCCAGTTTTTGGTTATCATGA